TAAGCTACTTCTTCGTCGCCATTTAAAAAACTGTATTTAATTGTTTTGGTTATATCGATTGACTTGACCAAATTTGTTGGGGCCAGTCTTCTTGGATAAGTAATCGTATAATATAACTTTTAAAGTTATGGTGTTTGTTATTGTTTAAAACAAATTAGTAAAAAGAAATATAAAAACATAAGCTAAATTAAGATTTTTAAAAACTTCTTGAAAAAATTTAATATACTTTTTTTTAGGTTTTTAGCAACATTCTAAAATGGCTTAATTTAATGTAATTACATTTAATTTAGTAAATTCAGATGCTGCGTTGGGGCATTCCAAGTTGGAATTTCCAACTAGATATTTAAAAATAAAATTTGGGTACACTATACAGTATACTGCTTTTTCCAAGTTTAATATTATTTTTGAATTAGGCACTTAAGTACTTTTTAAAACTACAACTTTTTTGTTTCCCAAATTTTTTTCCTGTTAAATTTTCAAAAAAAAATCCTATATTTGCTCGCCCCTGGAAATTTTTTTTTTGTTCAAAATTAAGCAAGATAGAAAAAAATACAAAAAACAAAAAGATGTATTAATGATTGCTATAGCTAGCTAGCTAGCTAGCGGTCCCTAGGGACCGTAGCATCACATTTTTATTAACTTTTACACCCTGTATTCGAAAACAAAGCTTAAAGTTCATAAAAACTTGTCTTCTTATTTTTGCGTGTTTTATCGACTACCAAATTTTCCCGATTAAAATTCAGGATGTATATTATAATAATTATAATTACCTAATTAAAACTTGGCAACGCTGTTCATCTCGTACAAATTTATAAGCCGAAATCTTAAAAATGAACGGTATAGGAAGGGTAATATTACAAAAAAAATATTACCCTTCCTATATATATATATATATTATAATAGGGTCATTTATATATAAAATATTACTAGGGAGGGTTCTCAGGACTCCTGCTTCTATTAAGCTTAAATCTGAAAGTCTCTTAACAGATAACTGCAAGGGACTCTCAGGACCAAAAAATGTATACGTATTTAGACAAGCTATAAGCTTATTGGAATGTATAGATGTAATAAATAAATAAATATACTGATATACTGATTAAAAAAATAATTTCATCCCCAGCTGTGGAATGCTACTAGTATCAAAAAAGAAATACTAGAGTCAAACCACGTCAAGTGGGACCAGAAAATTTCACGAAATCACCGATTTTGAAAATAATCACATTATTGTGTAGTAGGCATGACTCATATGTCACAGTAAAAAAATTGTTTTAAAATTCGTTTTTTTTGGTAATGTTATTAAGGTCGACAATTTTGTCAAACTTTAGAGCACGGTAAAATTGAAAAAATAGAATCTCTGGGACCACTCTGTATAATTGAATTAAATTTTACACACTATTGTAAAAATGTTTAGACTATATAATGATCATTTAATTAAGGTTAATTTGTTTAAATAAAAGAATTTTGCATACATTTATTATAAACAATTGAAATTTTGTATGTGTTCTTCACGCTGAAAAAAATTAATCTTGTGTCATAATATGCGGCAAACGTTCCCGTTTAATAAAATGTACTCAAAAATTTGTCCTTCATATGTCATTCTGGAGATATTAAATTTTTTGTCCCGCTGTGCGCTTGATCAGTACGCGGCGCGCTTCGCTGCTAGCTCGTCAGCACACGGTGTGTCTGAACGAAGTTTAAGTCACATAAAAATTCCGCAGTTTCTTGTTCGGGACCCTTTGGTGACTTAAAAATGATATTTACCAAAATCCTAGCTGCTCCTCTTTTCGAAATTTTTTGAAAAATCTTTTTTATGCATTATGCTTTTTACTATATAAAAAAGTGATTTTTGTCTAACCCTGTATAAATCTAAGCATATATATAAAAACAGTTTCTCTCGTTTACAATATCGGTGTACAAATGTGTACTCTGGCAAAGGTAGACTTTGCGATAAACAAATAATTTTAAAAAAATTGTTTTTTTTACAAATTAAAAAAAAACAGTTAGAATTTTGGTAAATATCTTTTTAACTTCAACCAATTTTTCGTTCAAAATTGAAAACTACTAAAAAGTCTAAATTAAACAACATTTTTAATATTCTCTAAGCGTTATTTTATTAAATGTTATTACAAATCTATTTTTCTTGTAAAAGGTTAATAATAATGCCATTTTGTAACCTGATAGACCTAGAAATATCTAAAAAAAAATTGGGAATAAATATTTTTCGCGTGTTATGCTAAAATAATGAATTTACGCTTTTGCATTATTAAAAATAAGTGATTTTTGGCTAACCCTGTATAAATCAAATGATGTGAACAGTATTAAAAAATATTCTCTAAGTCTCCTAAATAATATACTCCAATTTTATAAAAATCCGTGTGCAAATGTGTACTCTGTCAAAGAGATAAACAAAAATTTAAAAAAAAAATCATGAATTTTCGAACAATTTCGAAAAGAGGAGCAGCTAGAACTTTGGTAAATATCATTTTTAAGTCACCAAAGGGTCCCGAACAAGAAACTACAATCAGTTTTTGGCGGCATTTTTATGTGACTTAAACTTCGTTCAGGCACACCGTTAACGTTAGAACGGACGAGCTAGCAGCGAAGCGCGCCGCGTACTGATCAAGCGCACAGCGGGACAAAAAAATTAATATCTCCGGAATGACATATGAAAGGCAAATTTTTGAGTACATCTTATTAAACGGGAACGTTTGCCGCATATTATGACACAAGATTAATTTTTTTTCAGCGTGAAGAACACATACAAAATTTCAATTGTTTATAATAAATGTATGCAAAATACTTTTATTTAAACAAATTAACCTTAATTAAATGATCATTATATACTCTAAACATTTCTACAATAGTGTGTAAAACTTAATTCAATTATACAGAGTGGTCCCAGAGATTCTATTTTTTCAATTTTACCGTGCTCTAAAGTTTGACAAAATTGTCAACCTTAATAACATTACCAAAAAAACGAATTTTAAAACAATTTTTTTACTGTGACATATGAGTCATGCATACTACACAATAATGTGATTATTTTCAAAATCGGTGATTTCGTGAAATTTTCTGGTCCCACTTGAGGTGGTTTGACTCACTATAAAAAACCCAAATATTATTAACTCAAAACAAAACAATATATGTTTTTGGTCTTTATGGCATCCGACTGCAATAGGCTTCCTTCAGGGATTAAAAATAAAATCATTATTATAATTATAATTGTTTATCCAGAACTCCTATGAGTGGGCCTCATGATTTAAAAAAAAATCATTACTAACAAATTAAAATATAAGTTCGCTGGAAAAACACTTGTAATCAATTTTTATGTCTTAAGTGTTGGGTCATTTCGATATAAATCCTGCATTACAATAGAATTCTACTACAACTGGAATTTTCTTTGGTTCTATCTATAAACCTAAAAATCCTAAAATATGGCATGCTTATAAAATTTCAGATTTAAATTAAGATGATTTTGACAGTTTTGTGGAAAACTGACCGATACGATTAATAATAATAACGCGTTTTTTTAAATATCTGCTTTAGTGACTAATTAACTTTTTACTTAAATGGGCTTTTAAACAAACATTACCACAGATATTGGAGAAATGAAAATCCTCATTAGTTTACAAAAAGACCTTTAAAATGAGGTATTACTGATACCCCTTTCCAAGATTTTTGGGGGTGTTAAAGCGTTTTTTTAAACCTGTCAGATTTCGAGAAATTGTGGGGGGGGAAATTTTGAAATATACAGGGTGCATGTAATTTTAAAAATTATAAATGTTTACTTCATAATAATATTTTAAACGAAGCCATTATAAAAAACAGTGGCTGAGTAATATTTTCTTATTATCTACTTCTTATTATATATAGGTAAATATATATTACAAAAAAAATCAAAGCATTTAGAATTATAGATATATTTTTTTTTAAATGTAGGTAAATACAATTAAATCATACATCATACTTAATTAATTGTAATTTTTGCTAATACCTAGTACCTACCTACACGAAAAAAAAATGTTGTGGAAAGTACTACAATTGTAGAATTTTCTGGTATAAATTGTTTAAAAAATACGACCAAGAACAATTTGTTAGAAATAATTTAACAATTTTGTAATAAAAATAAACAACAATTTATTGAAGATATAATTATATATTGTAGTTAAATTACTACAATTTCTGTTTTAAATTAATATTGTTATATATTTTAATAAAATATTGTATTGACTAATGCCATTCTTTATTAAAAATAATACAGATTTGCCGTGCTCCAAAATTGTGTAGGTACCTACTTTAAATAAATTATACGTTGATATAAATGCTTTAAGTTTTAGTTAATTTTAAAACAATTGTATTAAATAATTAAACATTTTTTTACAATATGGTTGTTGTAAAATTTAATTTGATTTTTTTCCCGTGTAATTGCAACAAATATTATGCAGTGAAAACAATTGTAGGTAATTGTAATTGGTTTTTATTTTAAATAACGTCGTCCTACTTTATTTGGTACTGGTATTTCTTATTGCAACAAAATGAAAATTTTAATTTTCAATGGCTAAATATAATAACAATAAATATATTTATTTTAATTTCAAATCGGTAGCCATTTTTTATTATATTAATAATATAGAAGTACATCATGTTAAATGTTCCCACAAGAAAAATGTTACTCACACAAACGGCTTGTGTCATGCCCACATATTCGTCCACGTGACCACCATCTCTGCATAGATCATTTAACGTTTTAATGCAGACAATACAACCTGTAGCTGCTTTCGTTTTATATTCTCTGTATGCTTGTACCTAACAACTGCTTTTCCAACTCGACTTTCATTGGCTAATAAAATCAGCCTCCAGATGCTCCGACCAATAAACGCATTTTATGTTAAAGAACTGTCGCCAGGATTGGTTCTTAAAATAGTTTTTAATTCAGCTCGTTAAATATAAATTGGTTAAAATAATAATGTTGGAAGTCAGTTGATCTGTAACAGTGTTTCTAAATTCTTTATAACATATAGTTTGGTGGTGATAATTAAAGTTAATTGTTTTAATTTTGTTGTTAATTAAGTATTTATTATGGAAAGTGCTCCCTTCGATGACCAGCCATTTGTTGATTATAATAATCAACCGTTGCCATCACTAAGTTCGACTTTATTAAACAAAAATCAGGATAATATCAATGTACATTCAATCCAAGTGATGTTAGGTTTGCAACAGCAACATGATATGTTTGGAAATATGGGATCAACATTAGAATATAAAGGACCCACACAAAAATTAGATAATTCTCAAATTCATCAGGATCTAGGATTGTTTCAACAAGGAATGGATAATGCAAACAACAATGTTCAAAGAAAACCGGAAGATGTGGTAATTCAATCACAAAATTTAAGTTCAACGGATACAGGAACTGTCACCCCTATACCAAAGAAAAATGATAAAAAGAAAAATGATAATGGAGTAAAAAAGAAAAAAACACGGTAAGTCTTATACATGGTATATTTAAAAGCAGTTAAAGCAAAATCAAACAAATATTTAATTAGGTTGTTAATTAGTAAAATTGCGGCCGCATATTTTTTTAATAACCACACTTTCTCAGAGTGGAAGCGTTTTCCTAAATTTATTAAAAAAAACTTACTAAACATTAACTATTTTAAAAAAAGTGTTATTTAATTATTTAAATCATTGTTTTTTAGTACTTTTAAATTAAATCAAAATAGAATAAAAACAACTTATATCTGTTTAATTTTTTTAATTTAAAGTAGAGTAAAGCTTAATATTAAATAAAAATCGAGTATAGATACAAAAATATAAGAATAGTTTGAATTATTTATTAATTGTTTTTGTATAAATATCGCACACATAGGTCCTATAACAAAAAAATAAGATAAGTCCCTATAGGGCATCGTTCATAAAGACCCTACGTCATACTTTTTTGGGAGATTTCAGATGCATAATAGCATTATTATAGCAAGCAATGTGACATCTAAGTCCATGCATATAGCCAACAAATTGTATACATTTTCGAAAATTGTAAGTCAGGATTTAATCATGTTTAAAACATGTAATATGATTATCTTATTTTGAATATTTACAGTTGTTAGATTTTAGTATATTTTTATTATTTAAGCAAATTAGTAGGTACCTTAATTAAGTATCAATTTTTATACTACAACCATATGAGAATGTATATTGCAATGGCCCCCATTAAACGCTCTTTCATGTGTAGGAAGTAAAATATAATCAAAAATAATAGAAGCCTACCCAGTGTTAAAAATTCTATAGTGGTTATTTAAATAATTGTTAATGGATAAGTGAAGTATCTATTATGGTGGATTAAATGTGGTAGGTATATATTTATTGGATAAGGATATTCCACGATTATCAGAAATTGTTATCCCTACCGTCACAATACAGTTTCTGACGGTCGGGATAAAATTTCCGATAATCGTGGAATATTGGACCCATGTAATCCCCCATAATAAATAGATACATTACTTATCCACAGTGGCGGCTGGTGGATTTTGGGTATACCAATATTTCAGTTATTAGACATGGGACCCACACCAAATTTATAATAGTTTATAATGACATTAAATAGACAAGTTCGGCGCAAACAGAATTTAAATTGAAGTTTGCGAAAAAAAGTTTTTCCTGTTGCCTCACCCGCCTCCAGGCCCCCTATTTAAGATAATTCAAATTAAAGTGGTGCAATTTATTATCTACTATAATTTATCGAAAAATTTAAAATTTTATTTAAAAAATCCAAATATTGCAGGTTTTATACCATTTTAAATATTAATTTATTTTAATAAAATAAATAATAAAAATTTAAAATTGAATAAAATCTGCAGTATTTGGATTTTTTAAATAAAATTTTAAATTTGTTGATAAATTATAGTAGATAATAAATTGCACCACTTTAATTTGAATTATCTCAAATAGGGGGGCCTGGAGGCGGGTGAGGCAACAGGAAAAACTAACTTTTTTTCGCAAACTTCAATTTAAATTCTGTTTGTGCCGAACTTGTTTATTTAATGTCATTATAAACTATTATAAATTTGGTGTGGGTCCCATGTCTAATAACTGAGATATTGGTACCTATACATAAAATTCACCAGCCGTCACTGCTTATCCATTACATTAATTAATATATTGTCGTGAAATGTAATACTAAAACATTCATAAATTTACAAGAAAAAATATAAAGCAATGCGTTGTAATAAAGACCTGTAAAGTAAAACATACAAATTTTATTTTAAAAACTGTTTGTTAGGTAAAAAAATGGAATACATTATTTTTAAATAAATTAAAAATACTTATACTAAATCGAAAATATTTAAAATTAAAATATATATTTACAAATAAGTTCACTTGATTTTTTTGGTAGATTATCCTCTATAACAAAGAAAATTAGGTTTTCTCTGCTATTATTAATTTTTTATTTGCAATTGCCCCAATTTTGTCCTTATTAATTAAACCTTTTTACTAAATTATTTGGTGGTATTTTGTCTGTAATAAGAGTTCTAAAATTTGTAAAATTAAAAATGCACCTACTTACTCATTTAAATTTAACAACAATTAGGTATGTTTATTTTTTATGTGGTATAACTATTAAAACTATAGGAATTACACTGGGCGTCATTTTTAAAATATGGCGTTAACTATAGAATAAAAACATTTGGCACTTTAATGGTTTTTAAAGTACCCTTAACTTGATACTGGAAATTGCCATATATGGGTTTTTTATGATAAAATATACAAATATTAGCCTAAAAAGGGTAATTGCAAGACCTTATCACAACAGCCTTTTATCAAAATTAATATTTTTATCGAAACATTTCTGTAAAGGCCCAGTACAAGAAAAGCTTTGGCTAAAAATGCCATTATTAAGCCATAAAACTATGTAATGGGCCATTACATAATCAGACTTATGTGTTTGTTGGGTACAAACCAAAAGACACAATAACGATCTTAAAGATCAAAAAATTATAACAAATTTTGATTTAGTAGCTGTAATAATATATTTAAAATACTTTTATTTACACAGAAAAAATCTAACATAGTACCAAGAACAGCGCTGTCATTGAATGCATTAAAATTGAAGCAATCTAAATTGTTATTTGCTCAATTAATTACTATTAAACCAAAATAGGGAAATATTTTGCCTAAAGAATTTATTGCGTTAAATGTATACATATTATACATACAACAGTAACGTTATTAAATATATTAAATTAGTATTTAATGCAATAACATTCTAACATTCTAACAAATAAATATCAATATGAATATCAATAGATTTAGGAGCGATAACTTTTGTTGTTAATTTAAAAACTGTAAACGATTGCTAGCTACCTATTGGTATTATAGGAACTGTTATTCAGGAATACGGATTACAAGATCCCATTGGTTTAATGGCTCACCCATTCATGCTATGCTAGCGTTTTTTCTGTGTAGTAATTATTTATTTATATACAGTGCTTGCAAATCCAAGTCCGACCGGGTTGGGAAGGACGGTTGTTCAATACCCGCGTGAAAATAACAAGGATAGAACGCCAAACAGGTGGTGGTAGTCTGCCTGCTCTGACCAACGAATTTTTGTTTGGCGTTCTATCCTTGTTCTTTTCTCGCGGGTATTGAACAACGGTCCTTCCCAACCCGGTACTTGGATTTGCAAGCACTGTATATTTTTTTTATTATATTACCTAACCATTTAAAAACATTTAATTTATTTGTAAAAAATTGCTTTTAAAGTTGTAAAATAAATTTAAAAAAAGGCCGTTTTTTAAAAATATATTTTTTACACTTAAAGTTTAGAAATGTTTATACGTACTTTAAACCTAGATCTAATGATTTATTATATTTTTTTTAGAACTACTTTTACTGCATTTCAATTGGAAGAATTGGAAAGGGCATTTGAGAGGGCTCCATACCCTGATGTTTTTGCGAGGGAAGAATTAGCTTTAAAATTAAACCTAAGCGAATCAAGAGTACAAGTTTGGTTTCAAAATCGGCGAGCTAAATGGAGAAAACGTGAACCTCCAAGAAAGAGTGGATATATTAGCTCAAATTCTCCAAACTCAAATTTATCCAATAATTTTAATAATACATTACCATTTACTCAATCTAATACTTTGGGATCAACCGCAACACCAGTGGAAACTTGGAATTACCAATCTTCATACGACTTGGGAACACATTTAAATTTATTAAATCCAAATTCAGGTTCTTATTCAAGCTTTGGATCTCCTGGCTCGTACTCAAGTTTTGGTTCTACACAAAATAGCTATTCATATATGCTTAATTCACATGAAGGTCAATTGTTTAGTACGCCAATTCGCGCACATGATTATACAACACCGCCAAATCAAAGTCCGACATTAGGAAGAGAGTATTCAATGTTGCAAACACATTCTTCGAACGATGAAGAAAATGGCATTGGAGTTAAAATTGAGTATGTTGATCAAACAACAAATCTAAATGAATCTCCAGAAAGGTATACTAGTGGGTCACCTAACTATGAACATGGTTTTCATGAAGAAGAAAGAATAAAAGAAATAAAATCGGAAAATGGAAGCAATCAAACTTATGTAACCTTACCCCCATTTTTAAATTAAATTAATTAAAAGAACTAATTTATAAATTAATATATATTTTTACTGTTTCCCTGATTGTAAAAATTGCATGTAAAAACTGTTTAATAAAAAGGATTTAAATTTTACAATAAATTCAGTATAATTTTATAAAGAAGTTATATGGTACAATTAAAATATAATAAAATACATTATATTTTAATAAATGTTTATGTAAATTCTATTCAAGATACTTTAAGTGCAACAGGACTTGGTTAGTGTCCAGAAATGTTTGGCATTTCCAAAACATATGTTCCGAGTCGGGATTGGTAATGCTAGTTATTGTCTAGCTTTTTTATGTTTGTGATTTTATGTAATTTTGATGCGCAATAAAGATTTTTATTATTATTATGTTTAATTATTTATTCCAGGACAAGAGATAGCAGATCTTTTTGCTGACTGTTTTAGTTCTGTATATATTGAAAACTGTGATATAAATGAACCTGATTTTTACTTTGAAAATACCATAGATTTAAGTAACTGTTTTATTTCTGATTGTATTTAAAGAATTGTCTCAACTTTGTGTTAATAAAGCTCAGGGCCTGATGGTGTTTCCTCAATATTTTTTAATAATTGTAGATTTTCCTTAGCTAAACCTCTGGCAAGGCTTTACAATTTATTATTAAATAATTGCAAATTTCCTAACAAATGGAAAGAAAGTTTTGTAATTCTACTATTTAAAAACGGGGTTAGAAATGATATTGGTAACTATACCCAAAATAATGGAAAAAATTGTAACAAGTAAAATTACACCGTTGTTCAAAAATATCTTGATTAACGAACAGCATGGATTTAGCTAAGGAAAGTCTACATTAACGAACCTTCTACTTTACGAGCAAGATTTGCTAAGTGCCTTAGAAAATCGTAAACAGGTGGATACTATTTACACCGATTTTTCTAAGGCATTTGACACTGTAAACCATGAAATTCTTTTAGCAAAAATTAAGGCATTAGGTGTTACAGGAATTTTTTATCTATGGCTAAAAAGTTACTTACATTCTAGAATTCAAACTGTTATAGTTCAGAATCAGTATAAGTCTAAAACAATTAGGGTTACCTCTGGTGTCCCACAGGGTGGGCATATTTCTCCCCTGTTATTAAATTTATTTATTAATGATATAGGCTGTGATATTAAATGTTGCAAATTTTTATTATTTGCAGGCGATCTAAAATTATATAAACAAATTAAGTCTTTTAAGGATTGCTGTGATATTCAGTTAGATCTTAATCAAATACAATTGTGGTGTAAAAAAAATTGTATGAACCTAAATGTTAATAAGTGTAAATATATTAGTTTTTATGGAATTCAAAAAAATATTTACTTTCCGTACTCTTTAAGTAGAGTCAATAATATAAAAGATTTAGGTGTTTATTTTGATAGTAAACTAACATTCTCCTATCACATTAATTTTATTTTCAATAAATCATAAAGATGTTGGGATTTGTCAAGTCTTAAAGATTTAAATAATGTTCAATGCTTAAAAAATGTTTATATGTCCTTCGTGCGCAGTATCTTAGAGTATTGTTGTATTGTTTGGTCATCTTTTTATGTTAACCCTGATGTTAAACTAGAAAGAGTACAAAATAAATTTTTGCGATATTGCGCATACAAACTAAATATTGAATGTACTTATTCTTTAGATTTAGTTAGAAGTGTTGCCAATTTAGATCAACTAAGTAAGAGAAGAACTGAATTTGGAATTGTATTTTTATATAAACTTTTGAATAATTTTATTAATTGCTCAGAAATGTTAGAGCAAATAAATTTTAATGTTTCTTTAAAAAATAAAAGGCAACACTATTTATTTTATATAAAGACCCATAGGACCACTTATAGTAAATTTATGCCTTTAAGTAGTTCTGAAGCGAACGATTTAAACTCCTAATCCGGTTTTGAGGCCCTGGGGCCGAATTTGGTGAATCATTTATTATTTAATAAACCATATAAATTTTAATAAAATCGGCCAAAGCTTTAAATAAAAAAACTCATTTTTTTTTAAACAATCTCGATAATGAAGCATTTTCGGACACGTATTTAAAGGAACTTTTTTTCATATTTTGATGAGAGGAATTTCCCCTGAGCTTTTGTCACCACAATCTGAATCACCCTGTATATTTTGAATAATACGAACATAACCTTATATACATTTTACCCAAGCCTGAGAAATTATAAATTCGTATGCAAAACTATAAAAAACTAGATAGTAGAATAGTATTGTGAATGAAAGTGTTTTCATATACTTTATATTTTATAAATTTTGATCTATATTTTGTTTGTATTTTTAATACTTACAGCAAACTGAAAAAAAGTGCATCAAAAGTCGTATTATTTGTTTGTTTTTCATACAAAATCAAACAAGGAGCGGACTTGGATACTCTAATGCCCGTTTGCACCGTTTGTATTAAGCAGAGCTTAAGTATAAACTCATACTTAAGTTTTCGATTTCTCTTGCATCGCAAGTAATTCCCTTCTCAATTTCGATTAAGAACGACTCAACTTTAAGCCCCCGATTATTTATTTCCTAACTTTAAGCAACAGTTTTTTCGTTTTTTTTTCGCGTGACGTTTTTGAATAAAAAAATTTAATTCAAAGGGGACAAATAGCAGGATATCCAAACTTACAGGGCAATGGCAATGTTAAAAATGAATTCATTAACAATTACTTCGCAAATTTATTGTAAATAAAATTAATCTAATATATTTTTTAGCTTTTTTAATTTTTCTTTTTCAACTTCCAATTGTACTTTCAAAACTTGTAATTCCATATCTTGTTTTTTGTTTTCAAATTCTATATTAAATTTTAACTGCCTATCAGGTAATTCCGCAATGGCTATTCTTTGTTTAACAATTTTAAATATTTGTCGGCCACTTCAGAGGAAGTCAATCCATTCTCAACGTGTGTTGGTCTTTTGCGACTTTAAACCTACCTTTCTTGAAAAGGCTTGGGGTGTAATCCTTCCATGTACTACTTACTCCCACCTCCAGCATTAAATTCGAGGGCAATTCGGGACCAAGTTTTTGATTTTTCCTCGTTGTGGACCTCATCAGTTTTCTTATTTTCTATTATATTCTTGTATTTGTATAAAATGCCCAACAGCCGTCCTGTCATTCTGGCTAAAATTAGCCGCCCTTTTTTTTGGGGCTTTACCACCAGAACTATATTAAATATATATATATTTTATATTAATTTAATAATAATAATAATTTATTTAATAATAACGAATTAGTTCATCTTTGCAAAATATCTTACTTCACCACAACTCATTGATAAAGAACTTGCTTGTGGTTACATATAATAATATATATTTTTTAATAATAACTTAATAATAATAATAACGTTAGTTCTTCTTTGCAAAATATCTAACCTCACCACAACTAATTGATAATAAACTTGCTTGTACTAGTAGATAAATCTACAAACACAACACAAATTCTACGCAATACGTATCCAAAAATCCAACAATCACAATTTATTATTCACAACACAAGGGAACTTTGATTATGAAATAATAATAATATACTTTTTATTCTCTCTTTCGAGAGAATTGGACTTGAGCCAATTAGGCTCTTACTGCCCAGTTACTAGTTTTTACGTCCTTGCGCTTCTCGAAGGACATGTGAAATTTCAAATCTTGAAACATCCACTAAATAGATTGCACAAATCACCAAATACCTCGCTGAAAGGTCAAAGCTTGCGATATTGTCGAGAAATACCGGTATATTTCTATACCGGGAACCCCATTTTATCCTTCCTGGGTCAAAGTCAACTATTTTCAGACTTTTTCATGGAGCGATGTACAGCCGTTGAAGGATAAAATCGAACTCCAATAATAATAAATAATAACGAAAAGGAACAAAATGCCAGGATGAGGAAGAGATTTAGGAACCTCCGTCCCACCGCGAAGTAATGCAAACAAGTGGTTCCACGGTGGGTACGGGAGCGAAAAGGGAGGTGGGTTTTAGTCGGTAAGAGTCCGACATTACCTAATTGAGGTGTCCATGAGGATTTCCCCCTTCAAAAAAAAAAAAAAAGGGGCGGCAAAAAGGTCATTGCTTGACTTGTGGGGGGGATAGAGCCGTGCGCGTGGTCGCTTTAGGTAGGTACGTGCATGCCATTTTCAGTCGTCATAATGAATATGTCAGAAATATTTGGGATGTCAATAAAAATCAAACTAAGAAAAAGCTTTCTATTTTTTAAAGGTTCATTAATTATGTGAGGGTTTTTAAAAATAAAATGTCCAGTCAAAGTTGTCTCTTTACGAGGTGATATTGGATGGCCACCGCGTTCGCTTGATTTGACCCCTTGCGATTTTTTTTGTGGGGGTATCTAAAATCACAAGTTTTTAAACATCGTCCACAAAATTTGGAAAAAATATAGGCAGCAATAAGGCAAGAAATCAACGCAATTCCGCAAGGCATGGCGCGCAGAGCAATGACGAGCTATCGCTTCAAATATGCATTGACAATAACGGCGGTAATTTAAAAGACATTATTTTTAAAACATGAAATGTATGAAATAATGTGTTTCCTAAAAATAAAAGATTTTTTCTTAGTTTGATTTTTATTGACATCCCAAATATTTCTGAAAGATTCATTATGACGACTGATAATGGCATGCTCGTACCTATCTAAAGCAACCACGCACACTGCTCTAAATCCCCCCCCCACGAGCCGAACAATGACCCTTTGAAAATGGGGCAACCTTTTTGCCGCACCCTGTATAAAAATAACAATTAAATATATATTGTTATAAGCTTAATATATGCTTTAAAATTAATTTTATTTTGTTTATCACATGTTTATTAAAATTCAATATTTATTATTAATGATATTGGGCCCCTTTAAAACACATTAAAGCACTTCGAAGCAATATTTTGTAATCCTTCAAAGCAATTTTTTTTTAAATTATGAAATTTAAATTGCTTTTTATCGTTTAATGTCTACTGTTTAATGATTTTGGGCGCTCGTTTTACATATGATCACATTTAAAGTATATTTATAATTTACGACTTCCACAGAGATTAAAAAATGT